ATGTAATGACAGTAAATTTTTATTTAAATAAAGTCTTGCATTTAATGCCCATTCGCGATAAAAAAAAAAAAAAATTAATTAGTGAACAATTAGTGAACAATTAATAAATAATATATAAATAATTATTTCAAATTTTATATTTTTTTCATTTTTAATAAATTTATCAAGTATTAATTAAATTTTGTTGAATATTATTACAAATGCAATTGTTAAATAATTTTGTCAACTTTATAGTTAAATAATAAAAATTTATTTCAAATGCTAGAGTTTTTATTATAGAATATTGTAACTTTATTGTTGAATTTTTTTGACTAAAATATTTTTTGCCAAATAATTTTATTGTTGAATACTGATATTTCCAAATGATTTTATTACCAAATGATTTTATTGCTAAATTTATTTTATTTTTGAATTATTTATTGCCAAATAATTTTATTGCCCAAATGATTTTATTGCCAAATGATTTCATTGCCGAATTATTTTATTTCCAAATTATTTTATTGCCAAATGTTCTATTTTTATTGCCAAATTATTGTGTATTTTTTAAGTACCAAATGACATAAATTGGACCAAATAACAAAACTTTAGTATAAACTTTTATTAATAAATTTGAATTTAATTGATATAATTTGACAGCTAAATAATCTAATTTGGACTATGCTAGTTAAAATTCAATTATTCATCAGTATGCTACTCATCAATCATTTGGCATATGATAAATAATTTGTCAAGCATTCATTAAACATTTATTAACAATTTGTCAATTATTGCCAAATTGAAATATGCTGAATGTTTGATGAATGCTTGACAAATTATTTATTGCATACCGAATGATTGATAAGTGGCATACTGTTGAATAATCAGATTTCAACTAGTGCTAGTGTGAGGCTTACTTGCAATAAAGAGTGTAAAATAATTTTTTTTGGTTAAAATTACTATAAAAGAAAAATTTTAGCAAAAAAAATTACTTTTATTAATATATACTTTAAAAAAATTGATTATTAGAAAAAGAAAACTATTTCTTTAATATTTAATAATTTGAATTTTAAAAATTTCTTAAGTATAATTTTTAATTTTATTTATTTAAATTTTTGATTTTTTATTAAAAATTATATACAAATAAATTAAAATTTTATATAATTATATTAAAAAATATATTATAAATATTATTGTATAAAATTTAAATGGTTTAGTATAATTTATATTGAAAAATAATTTTTTTTTCAATTCAATTCAATTTCATAAATTTATTTTTTGATTTTAATGAAAATTAATTAAAAATTAAAAATTAAAAATTTTTTATTTAAATAAAATTGTAGATTGTTATTTTACAAGATATAATATTAATTATTAAAATTGACGTAATACCTTTTCAAAACATTTTGAATCATCCTGTATCTCACATGATAAATACTGTATAGCGTTTTATAATATGCATTAAATTTTTTAACCAATAAAAATTTAGAATAAAATGTATCAAGAAAGATACTTTGTGAATGGCCGGTAAATAAGTAAGTAGTTTTAGCATTAGTTTGGGGCGGACTCGGGACAGCTAAACCGAAGCCGAATCAAAAACCGACACCACTCGAGCTTTTTAACATCCCTAGTTAATGGTAATTTAAAAAAATGTAAAGAACGTGAGAACATTGTACAGATCTGGTCACACCCCTCCATTATGTAATGACTCTAAATGGAAAAAGTTCTGTTAAATAAATGTACTTCATATCAGCCATAGGAATATTGACCGAAATAGGTTCGAATATAGTCATTGACAGTTTTAGTTTGTTTCGTTAATTAACAAACAAATAATAAATTGAAACTTTACCAATATTTATTACATCACACAAAATTCTTTTTAAATCGCATAAGTCTGGATATTTTAGTCTCGTCTATAAAGAGATTTATAACAAAAGTTTTATGAAGTAATTATCTATTGTTTATATTATTTTTCTTTATGCATTATAATATATAGTATATTTAATTGTATTCGCTGCGTCCGAATTACTTGACAACCCGACATGTTGTTGAACTGTGTCACATCACAAATGAATTGCATCCGAATTACTTGACAACCCTACATGTTGAATTGTATCACATCACAAAATTAATTGAATTCCTATATAAGGCATAACAAAAATTTGAATTGTATCACGAATTAATTGAGTTTCCATAAAAGTCATATCGATACACAAATAGTAATTAATATATTTTGAAAATATTTGTACATTTTTTTGTGAGATTACAGCATTAAAGTATTTTGTTAGCTCATAATGGAAATCATTTCGGAGGAAAACATGGATTCTTTTGAGTTCTAATTATATTCATGAATTTTCATTAAGGCAGTGATCGATGATTTTGTGATTAAATAGAATTATAATTGCAAATTACGATGTCACCAAAAACTAGGTTAGAGAAAAATTTTTTTCTTTATTTTTAGTTCCCTCCCTTATAAACAATTACCTAAGTATAGACTAGAAACCGATCAATGCTGCCTCGCTGCAATCTACTCTTATGAACCCGATTCTTATTTTAAAATTCTCTTGGTATTTGTTGCATTCGTTTTTTTACAAAAGGTTTAAACCCGTTATAAACACATGTTTCTTTGTTTTTGTTTTTATACTATGATCTAGTTTTAGTCATTTACTATTTAATATCAAATGTTAATACACGTAAACTTAATAATTGCATTGAAAGAATATTTAAAAAATCGGAAATAACATTTGCACGTTTCATATTACGATATACAGTAATTTATACTGAGTAACACGAAATGTAGTGTACGTATACTGTATACCATTTTGTCACATATGCACAAATTCAAAAATACGTGATACCTAAATATCATCTGTAAAATAAAAGGGCGATATCTGGCAAGAAAAAATTTTTTCTTGTTGAAAATTGACAGCATCTTTCTTTAAAAAAAAATTGGTCGAAGCAACTCCAATCATGTTGCCGAAAACATTCTTTTTTTTATACATTTTCTTTTTAGTTTGCGCCTCTATTTTAGGTGGTGCGCAAGCCGTTAAAACCAAAACCGATACGGCAATCGACATAGCGACCAATACTGATGATGGCATTAAACAAACGACGATCGAGAAAATCTCTACCGAAGAAAAGACCATCAAAGAAAAGATGAAGACTAAGACGGAAGAGACAACTATCAAGGATGCTACCACCGAAGAAAAGACCAAGACCAAGCCGGAAGAGACCAAGACCAAGCCAGAAGAGACCAAGACAAAGCCGGAAGAGACCAAGACCAAACCAGAAGAGACCAAGACCAAACCAGAAGAGACTACGACCAAGCTAGAAGAGACCAAGACCAAACCAGAAGAGACCAAGACCAAGCCGGAAGAGACAAAAACTAAACCAGAAGAGACCAAGACCAAGCCGGAAGAGACCAAGACCAAGCCGGAAGAAACAAAAACCAAGCCAGAAGAGACCAAGACCAAACCAGAAGATACTACGACCAAGCTAGAAGAGACCAAGACCAAACCAGAAGAGACCAAGACCAAGCCGGAAGAGACCAAGACCAAACCAGAAGAAACCAAGACCAAACCAGAAGAGACCAAGACCAAACCAGAAGAGACCAAGACCAAGCCGGAAGAGACAAAAACCAAACCAGAAGAGACCAAGACCAAGCCGGAAGAAACAAAAACAAAGCCGGAAGAGACCAAGACCAAACCGGAAGAGACCAAGACCAAACCAGAAGAGACAAATACTAAACCAGAAGAGACCAAGACCAAGCCGGAAGAGACCAAGACCAAACCAGAAGAGACCAAGACCAAGCCAGAAGAGACCAAGACCAAACCAGAAGAGACCAAGACCAAACCAGAAGAGACCAAGACCAAGCCGGAAGAAACAAAGACCAAACCAGAAGAGACCAAGACCAAACCGGAAGAAACAAAGACTAAACCAGAAGAGACCAAGACCAAGCCGGAAGAAACAAAGACTAAACCAGAAGAAACAAAAACCAAGCCAGAAGAGACCAAGACCAAACCGGAAGAGACCAAGACCAAGACCAAGCCGGAAGAAACAAAAACCAAGCCAGAAGAGACGAAGACCAAACCAGAAGAGACCAAGACCAAACCAGATGAGACCAAGACCAAACCAGAAGAGACTAAGACAAAGACCAAACCGGAAGAGACCAAGACCAAGACCAAGCCAGAAGAGGCAACCAAGACCAAAGACCCTGAACATACCAAGACCAAGACCAGAGAACCCGAACATACAAAGACCAAAGAACCTGAACATACCAAGACCAAGACCAAAGAACCTGAACACACAAAGACCAAGACCAAAGAACCCGAACATACCAAGACCAAGACCATAGAACCCGAACATACCAAGACCAAAGAACCTGAACATACCAAGACAAAGACCAGAGAACCTGAGCACACAAAGACCAAGACCAATGAACCTGAACACACAAAGACCAAGACCAAAGACCCTGAACATACCAAGACCAAGACCAGAGAACCCGAACATACCAAGACCAAGACCAAAGACCCTGAACATACAGAACCCGAACATACCAAGACCAAGACCAAAGAACCTGAACATACCAACAAACACCACAAATATAACGAACATCACAAGGATAAACATCACAAAGATGATGAACGCCACAAAGATGACGAACACCACAAAGATGATGAACATCACAAGGATAGACATCACAAAGATGATGAACGCCATAAAGATGACGAACACCACAAAGATAACGAACATCACAAGTACGTCAAACATCACAAAGGTGCCTACACTACTATCTATTACCATACCAAACACCATCTCCATAATTAACCATAACAACCCCAGCATTATCATGTCAAAGAAAAGCATCAAAAAAAAGTATTCTCACAAAACACCGTTACGGAAAATAATAAATTAATACTGATTTTTTTTTCCTGTAATGTATAATCTGTCTCTTAACAAATTTTCCTTATATCATAATTATTCATTATGTTACAATAGAGCCCTTTTGTTTTTTTTTTAATACTAGCGTTGCAATAACTAAATTTTATAAATAAAGTTGATTATTAAAGAATAAAGTAAACATAATTATTATACTGTAATAATTTGGTGTCCGAGTGGATCAGATCAGCCAGAAATTTACGGTTCGGGTCGGCACCACCGTTTGACCCAACAATTAACACCAAATGTAACATATAAAAGCAACCTACTGTACTTCTAAGTTTAAAAATGTCTTAGAGATTTTTCGTGATTCTACTTGCTCGATGGGTCATTTTAAGTATTTGATGTGTCAATGTATAAGCAACGTTTAATGTCAGCTGCTACTTTAATGTTTCGCTCAACAAGAATCAACGCGGATTAAGTCTTGAGACACTTTGTTAAGCAAAATTTTATTTTGTTTAGTCTAATGTTCCGAATGGGTCAGTTTGGGTCGGGTTTGGGTTTTACCCGATATGACCCATTGATAGTGTAACAAGAGTACTGTAATTGGAACGCAACATTCGTTACATGACCGATCGCCGCGACAGGCACGATTATCTAATGATGAAGAATGGAAGGATTGTGAAAAAGGATTATGTTATTGTCATCTATTATCATAGCCACCTTTAATGATGTAAATTATTAAAGTATAAAAGAGAAAATTTTATGTTAATAAAAAACGACTTTTAATAAATTAATCAATAATATTAATTTTTTTATCCTTGACCAAATCAGCTCGCCTCACACTTTTAAAACACTTGCCTTAATTAACAGTCGCGCGAATTGTGTTATTTCGTAGCGACAGGCTCGCGGGCGACTGTTACAATAGTAATTTCGAGTCGATCGGTCTTGGATTATATTAGTCTTGTGGAAATTAAGCTCTAGATCAGGTTCTGAATACTTTCTCTCAATTTTTTTTGGAAATATTTATTTTTGCTAAAAATCACAAGCTCCGATTTCCTATTACAGTAATCATAACGAAATTACAAGTATATAGTGTAAGGGGTAAGTTAAGACGTGAAGCACATCACGTGACTGATCGTCGCGAGGGTACCTGTTCTTGGTTGACGGTGCACGATTATCTAATGTGGGGGAAAGAAGGAAGTGATTATGAAAAGGGACTTATTTAATAGAGACTTAGCAGATTTAATGTTCTTAAAGTATAGCCGCACTAGCCTCTGTAAATAAAAAAGAGATTTATAAAAAAAAAGAAACAAGCATTAATAAAGGAGAACAATACCAATTATAAAATAAAATACTCAAAACACGCCTCCTTTCATCTTAATAATTACTCACCCTATCCGTGGTTACGCGAAATTTTGTCTTCCTTAGCGACTGACTCGCCGTTACACATCACAATAGCAACGCGATAAGTTTATTATTTAAGGTTTAAAATTTATTTAACACTGTAATTATGAGAATATCAATTGTTACACTATTTTAAATCTTCACCTATAAATTTTCTAATTTAATTTTATTTATTGACAAATTAATAATGTGCTTATAGTATTACAACAATAAAGACCCTCTTACCTGACATTACATAGGTCTTGGTTTGGATTAACAATAGACTCACTGTTACAACAATATATTTAATTAACATAAAGAATTAAATAATAAAATAAAAAGAAAAGCTTTTCCTGATCTTTTCACATTTACAAAAATTACAATAAAAATAATAAACAAAATTTTTTATGAAAAAAATTTATAAAAACTTTTGAGTCCTCTGCATTCTCTAATAATTATGCTATTGAATCTTTATATACTTTTCTTGATATCTTAATTACTGATATAAACAAGTTTCTTGTAATTATTATCTACATAAATATCCAAACAATATTATATATACTACTTATCTCCATAAACCACCAAATTCTTAAAAATTACCTTTTTTAGTAATTTTGAGAACACTTGTCAAAAATTATTTTTGTTCTTAAAAATTACAAAAGAATCACAAAATAATAGAAAACTATAACAAAAACACAGCTACAAAGAAAGGTGAATCTATTCTGTGAATTATATTATCTACTAACAACTTGTGTTAGCCATCTTTTCCCTTCTCAATAGACAAAAGTTATATCAGAGAAAGGAATACAATTCACAGTAAGCTTAAAGAAAAGTTAGCATCAACTCTCCTAACTTCTAGCCAAGCGTGTACAAGATTCTGTACCTCCCTAGACACCAGAAGAATTTTTGCTAACCAGATTCCACTCGATAAATCAGGCAATCTTGACATCAAACAAAAAACAAGAGGACATCAGACTTTTTTTAGAGAATTCAGATCAAAGAATTCAAATAAACAAAAACAACAATATATCAGTCAATATCAATTATTTATAGTTATATGACAAACTTTCAATTGAGAGAAAAAACCAGAATCAACTTATTTCAACAAGTGATCTACATACTAAAAAACACAAAACAAATCAAAACAATCTAAGTAAACAAGATCTATATGTTAATCAAAATCAAAATAAGTTTAAGTAAACAACACCAGCATATCAAATAACACAAATATGAAAGCAAAATAGGCACATTATATAACTGACATGTTAACAAAACTGATATGTCAGTATTACAATTATGTTTTCATAAATACAAGTGATAATAACAACAAACACGTTACTATAAGAACATATCAACAATAAATATATTAGCAATTTATTCTACCCAAATAAATATGACCAACCAAAATTCAAAACCAAGCCCAACTATTAATAATAATTCCTACTTTCCATCACACAACATTCTATACAAACAACTATAACAACACTATTTTTCTAGATATTATTCTTATAGATAAAACTTGTCACTATGTATTTATAATACATATTTATCTATGTAAATACTAACACAGTTGAATATTTTGACAAAAATAATATCTATATCTTAGTTTATATTTTTACTATAGCATATATTTATCTTGTACAAAAATATTATAATAAAAAAATGTGAATTTTTTTACGTTTTAAGAATATTTTTTTTATTAAATTTTTATATTAAAAAAATCAATAAATTTATATTCAAAAAATATTTTGAAAAAATTTTATTAAGATATTTTATAAGATAAGCTTA